CTATTACTGAAGGTAACAGTCGGAGATAAACGAAGAACAATAAGATTTTCACTTTCTGCTAGAATCAGCCATTGCATATTTCAAACTCAGGCCTGAATCAATGAATATGATGTTTCCCACTACCATTGTAGAAATGGCCAGAAATATAATGTTCTGATTGTACAAGTGCGATTTTTCCATAAGTGCCATTGTGTGCCGGTAGCAATTGTCGCACATACATTGCATGAAATTGAGCGCTGCTTTTTTGAAGTACCAAAGATCTTGCCCGAAGATCGTCTGAAGCTCGTTTGTCAACTACAAATTTTTTATGGATGGGGAGAAACAAAACAGTTTTTATTTCTATAAGGAGTTCAATCTACGAGAATTTGTCAATTTAAAAATGAATTGTTTTTTTAGCAAACAACCTGAGACAATTGAGCAAAGCTCAAGTATTCTACATCGAGAAGCATACACGGTTTCTAAGTTCAATGAAAAAAGAACTGTAGGTCAAGAACAGATCGAGATCTGCCGCACTCGAGAGGTCAAACGAGACAAATGCCTCAAAGGTACTTCAGAAATCTCAGTGCATTGCGTTAGGCTGCAATTGCTTAGAAACTGAGCACGCTTTTCATTTACATTTGCATGACGAAAGCCCAGAAGCAGTAATACTTGAGCGGGCACAAACGCGACGCGCGCGTATCCTCAACGTCGTTAATCCCGCGCCTCATGCGCTCTGCGGCTAATAGAGCCGCGTTCGCATCCAAAGATATTACGTGTTCTCATGCAGTAGCCTATAACTTTCCCACATCGCTTAGACTTTGAAATTCCACATTATGCATATACACACCAAGTTTGGAGCCATGTCTTTACCGTGCGTTGCAAACGGCCATCTATCTGAATCACGGGCGTGCCCTGAGCAAATTCGTGTTTGATTAAGTAATAGTGTGAAGACTTGTCCGCCACTGGCTGGACATGTGGGCAATGCAATGCAATGCATGTTAGCGTGCACTTGCAATCGTCGTTTGACTTTTTGCGCTCAAAACTACTTCCAGCTTACTGTCAGAAATTTCAGTCGTGCGAGCATTCTCTTTAAGCATTACCGTACAAACGAACGACATATAAGGATGTCCGAACGGCAAGCAATGATACTAGTAGGTAAGCGATAGCTCATGCAAGCGGTCAGCAATGTGCCCGTCCGACTGGCAATGCGCTTGCCGTGCCAGGACAGTGACCTTTCATAACTTCCTCAGAGTAGACACACGTTGTGAACGCCAATGATACCTGCGTGAGACACAACGCGGTTAGGCTGTCCTTAGCGTTGATAGTTTGAAATAACATCGATCTTTGGTCTCTCGATTAAAAGGGCTCGAATGAGATTCTTTGAGATTGAAGAAATTGTTTACTGGGAGGCTGAACCGACATTGCAACACGGATGAAATCACTCCAAGGGGTGTGAACATGTAGACAACAAAGATACATGGAAAAATTCCTGCGACTTGCACTTGCGCGCAGGCAGCAGGTAACCGTAATTGTGCAAGGCTCTTTTTAAATAGTGAGGTAATTCGACTTGCTGAACACGAATATCATATTTGGTTGTTGTCAGGATAAATAATCAATGCTTTTTCAATAACAAAAACAGCTTAACAAGGTTACCATTTTCGTGATCAGCGGCGAATGCCCTCCGTCAACTCCTGACCGAGTGTGACCAAACCTGTAACCATTTTATTTGTGCTCCCTTCGAAAATTGCCCTCCCTCCACTTATCGTGACTCCACAAACGTTGACAGAAATTGGACGATTGCATTTCTTGCAAGCAATCTGATTTGGAAAAATTGCGCTATATTTAATGAAGAAGTTCTAGAGAAAGTTGCAAAGGTTGGGCACTATTTTGACACAAAAACTTCTACATCCTTTGAAACAAATATAAAATCTTCTCGTCCGAAAAGCCCACGTTCACTTTGTGACGCATCAGCTTATAAACATATTCAGCATAGGATCATGGGTCATTCGGGGACCCTGCTTTAAGTGACTGTGGCATTTGCAATCGAGAAATGGGCAAACAATAAGCTTACGTTCATTTGTCAAAGCAGAGTTAGTCGTTTTTGAGAAGCAAAATAGGAAATTCTTTTGTGAGCCATGTGCTTAGTTTGTTCTGTTCCTTGCTGGTTTTTTTTTACTCTGAGACCTAGCAGCGGCATGTTTGATGGCTTTTCAAATTGTGAAAGCTGCTTTGACCGTTTTGTGGACTTTTCCTTTAGCTCTTCTATCTGCACATTGTATATTACATCAATTTTCGACAAGTTATCTAGAATTTTTAACATTTTTAGACTTTACCTGCTTTTCATCTCAAAGAATTTCAAAGGTTTTTCGATCTCAATTAGACTGTTAGAACCCATAACGTTTTTGAGAATGCTGCTTCGCGTATCTTGGACCAGTTGTCAAGAAGATCTACTTGTCCTTATGTTTATGAGTATTCTTCTTTGTTACTAAGCGTGCAGTATCATTACTGCCGTATTTCGCCAAACCTTTAGAACGCTGAAAATTCTATATTGGCAATTAATTTGGTGTCGGAATTAATGAGAAGTCAAACAATGAACCCGTAAATGAGTATTCGTCTATCGTTTAATCAGCAAATTCAATGAACACGAATCAAACAAATAAGGGATATTTAGACGTCGAGCAGAGTTCACGCGATTTCATCTTTTCGCGATTCTGCAAGCAAGACAACAGTTAAAAGTCCGTTGCATCCCACCATCTTGCATTTCGATTGTGATAGCCAGCCATGATGAGTCGTCTCGGAAAACTATCACAACCAAAATGCAAGATGATCGGCATGCAGTGGATTCGTAGCTGTCGTCTTTTTGGAAAATCGTGATGCGATTAGCGTGAACTTTGCCCGAGGACTTAAGCACGTTGAGAGTATTTCTGGCAATAGAATAAGTTTATATAAGAACATCAAATAAGAAAGCGGAGGTGATGAGATGTTTTACGCATACTGGTTTCGGGGCTAAGAACTAGACCAGTATCGCGTCCTTCCTTGGCGCCCCCGGGTTAGAACCCTTTCCTTAGTAGTTCCCAAGGAAGGGAGCAAAAGGTAGCAACAGGAAAGAAAGAAAATAGAACAATTTCATGAAATGTTGGGACGCTAGGTATAGACGAAGAAGAAAGAGGTACGATTATCGTCGTGGAGTGTATTTTGTGATGCCTTAATGTTCATACATTTCATTTTCCGCCATATATTCTTAATTGACCGCGGCCCACATATTCCACACCTCATGCAACAGGGCATATGCACTCCGGCATTTAACCAATATTTACGTAAAATGAAAGGGTTATCTAAACAATGGTATATGGTTTTAAAAAGATTATTGCCATCACAACCATTCTTTTTTGATGTTAAACTAAGTTCCAATAATCTCTTTCTAAAATCTGAGTATTCTAAGTAAGTAATAGTAGTAGTAAGTTGCATCATTCTGCAAAATTATGCTGCAGGGAATGGAGATGGTTCGTTTGGAAAATAGCTAGATACCAATGGCGTACCGAGGGGGGGGGGCGCCCCCCCCCCCCTTTCGAGAATGGGTCGCGAAATTTTTGAAAGTTACTTATGAGGGTTATAAAAATGTGCAAATGACTTGTTTATACTTGTAAATAATTGAAATAATTTTTGAAAATTTTTAAAAATACAAATTAGCCTTGTAAAAAAAATTTTTTCGGGGGCGTGGCGCCAATCACGCCCCCTTTTTCCAGATTTTAGGGGTTGGGGACCCGCAAAAATTTTGAGAAGCATCCCTAAAATTCTTTCGGAGTGCGTGGCTAACGCCACGCACCTTGATTTGAAAAAGTGTTTTGTCGCGCCCACCCCCACGAGCGGAAATCCTGGGTACGCCACTGCTAGATACATCTGTGGCTTGCCGAGTTAGACTTTTCAAAATGTATATAAATAATCGTTTCCGGCGCATTAGTTTTCTCAATGAGAACTGATATAGAAATCAGTTTGATAAGATTGGGCAGCTACCTGTTAGGGTCGTTTTTTGCTTCGAGCAGCAACCATTTGGTAATAGTTTAATGCCAGAAAGCACACAACTACATCCAACGCTCCAATTGCAACCTGCTCTTTATTTCGCAGCAGTGGTACCTCCAATTTTCATGACTTCATATTCTCAATTCTGCCCTTCTGTCAACCGCCAGGGGCAGTGGGATGGGATGATGCTTACTCTGCCATAAACCATCCATCTAAATTGTCACAGCCAAAATAGTTGTCAAACCCGATCGAGAACATAAAGTCCGACCATAACCTTACCACTCACCACGCATAAATTTTGAATTTGCATGAGTAAGCGAAATAGCACACATATCAACAAAGTTAAGATTTCGAAGGCAAGTATCCAGGGTAAATCTAATCCCCTCTAGTGTCGATCCTGAGCGTAGGTCCCGAGAGAGGTACATATGCGTTGGTTCGCTTCTCTAATGTTGTCTCTGAATGGAGATAATGGGCCTGGAACAGCTAAAGTGCTACCAAGTCTCGCCCAGATCGCTCCGCCCACCCATGACTGAAAGCGTTTCCTCCACCCTTCAACACACCTCAAGACAGGGTCTTCAGAAATTGGGATATTTTTAGGACAGTTTGAACTTCACTTACTGTAATCAGGGCCACGGAAAGGCCCCGGAGGCAAAAACATGGGAGGCGAAATTTTCTGTAGACGCTGCCTTTAAAATAAATCTGTCTGTGCTATAAATATTTAGATTCCATGCATCTCACTGCAATACCGAAATTACTAGGAAATACAACAATAGATGTCGTGTCGGCATTGCACCATGGATTCATTAAACTCCCAGTTTGCAATGAGGAAAAATCAGTGAAAAACTCAATTTTGTATTGTGAACTTCATAATGAGTACTTTTGATCAATGCTTTTGTTTCAAGGAGAGAACCTGCAATTATGGAGTCATGCAATTTGAAAGCGGTAGTGTTATTGCAGCTTAGTATTTCTCTTTTCATTTGTGTAATCTATAGAAGGGCAGTATGAGTAAACAAAATGAAAAGTGCATAGAAAGGGATGAAGCTTGTGGAAATGGATCGAGAGCTTGGTGCATCATACCTGGTACACTCTTGTTTGAAAGCCGAAATGAGATTAATGCTAATGAGGGGGATATCTATTTATACCCGGTACAATCTAAAGCGGTAGAAATGTTCGGGTATGCTGCGTTTGTTCTTGCATTCGAGGCGAGTATACCATAACCATTTTACTCAACTTCCTTGGAACTGGAGCTTTGACTTACGCTTGCTTTTCCTCTTTTTTTTCTAACTTCGAACCCTAAGCTTGCAAATTATTGAGGTGCAATTTTTTGATCTCCAATTACAGATTTTGAGCGCATTCTTCATGATGGTACAGGCTTTGATTGAATAGTAATATGCAAAGTTCCACAAAAATAGAATTGTCGATTGAATTATGTAGAAAATTGCTCGGATCAAATTTCTGAAATATTGATGCAAATGCAATCTGGCTTATCCAGACTTCATTTGCTAAAACAAGTCAAAATACAAACAAGTACTGTAGCCTATGCTCTGAGCTTTTCTGTTCCAGATATTGATAACAAATACAGCAGCGCAAGAAATCCCGGATCTTTTAGATCCGGAAGATCGCTACAACTATCAGATCTATGACGATGATTACGGAGACGGTAACGAAATTTGGCCATCAGGAAGTGGATTTGAAGACCTCGCCCCCACCGCGGTAGATGATGAACTCCAAGAACACGAAGAAGAGTACAATGAACTGGGAGAGTGGGATTGGAGGGGGTCGGGTTATGTGTATTATTGATTATAGTTACAGCATGAAGGATTTCTCGTAGTAAAGTTTTTTTTATATGTGCAAGCTTTGACTCTCCTTGCAAAATATTTGCAAGGAATATTTGATAAATTTTTTTTAGCCAGATATGTAGGATTCTGCATTAATTACTAGAAGTAAAGTACGAGAATGTTTGATGCACTCAAAACTATCTATTTTCGGTATTAGTACACAACCTCTGCAGTCGAGTTTTCTTTCAATACGCAACTGAGTTTTAGATATGATTGACTGAGCCTTAGAAAATGAAACTCACTTCTCAGCAAGTAAAAGAACCCACACAACACCATAGGTGCGATAGGGGGAGCCGGGCTCTCCCCAGGTGAAGGGGGTCTCGGCTGTTCCCGACCCTCCAGGTGAAGGGGGTATGTGAGTCTGGGGGGGGGGGAGGGGGAGGAAGAGAGAAAAGATAAAAAAGCGTGGTATGAAGAGCTCTAATTTGTACCTTATTTAGGTCATGCTTGCATGAGGCAGAATAAGAAGGACGCGTTACAAATTCATCTGAACAAACTTTGACATGTGTTAGCAATAGGTTGCGCCAATGTATCTCACATAAGTGAAGTTTGAATATTGTGATTTTATGAAAATCTGTGCTCCTGTTTCATTACACCAACAAAAAACGAAAGCAATAAGGTTTATCCCAAAAGATGTACAAGTTAGGAACAACTTACAATTCCTGCACATCATCATCAATAATATCACTATCGCTAACGTCAGAGACAACAAGTTCGCTGCCTGAATGATCTTCTTCTTCCTCCAAAAGGTCATCGGAGTAGAAGTAGAATTGTGTGAAAAAGCGTTCTGAGTCGAAAATGGATTTAAAACGTTCTTCTTCTTCTAAGCGCTTTTGTGATTTTTTTCCTGGCCCTCTGGTAGCACCAGGAAAATCAGCAGGTAGGTGACCAGTTTCTTCGTACCATCTTTTAGGATATTTCAAAAAGTCGTACGGTGACAGCCTGTCTGGACCACTTATAGCAATCCTTTATATGAAGTTTTTAGATAACAATATGTTTAGTAGAAGGTTGACAAACTTTAAGTAATTGCTTAGATGCTCCACCGTTGTACGACTTCTGCGTTGTGTTCTGATAACAGAGTAGATAGAAAATCCTCTCTCCACCTTTGCCGTGCTAGTCGGAATGGAAACTAGCTTTGCTAGTAAGTCCATCAGATTTTTGCGGTAAGTAAAGGGGAAAGAGTCAGATCGCATATGCTTTCGCAACACGGGAAGGAAATATTGCATACTTTTTTGGGCCTTGTCGAACTCTAACTTCACCTCCTCTGGCATACGTCGTGTTAGCTGACGAAAAAGCTGCTCAACTTCTTCTTCAACAGCATCTGCGGAATAGCCAAAAAAAGTAGATACTATGCTGCGCGTTGTTTTTTTTTTCAATATCATAGGTCATAATCTCACAAGGCGAAAAACTTCCAACAGCATAAAGTATAGAGTTGGGTTCGTACTCCATTCGAGATCTAAGAGCAGTAGCTATGCTTTGTACTAACAGCTTCCTTTTGTTCATATCCATGTTTGTGAATTTAGCAGCCTCGAAATCTTCAGCAACTTGAAGATCAGCAATGGACTTCCTGGACATTTCCTCATTGAAACTAGGCAGTCTGCTTGGATTTCTGATGTACGAAATCAGAGAGTTTCGCTCAATCGTCAATTCTGTATCAATGTCGACAGCATTTTCGTCGGCGTACGATTCTCCTTCTGCCTCGCTGTTGAACTGGAACACATGCGAATTATCGGCGATTTTGTAAAGTATTCTGCCCGGCGCTTCTTCTTCAGACTGCCAACCTTTCCAAAACCTTGAAGGATACTTCAATAACATGTTGTTCTTCTAAATGCCTTAAAGTTTTTGATTAATTAATACCAACCATTCTCTACAATTAGGTGAGTCTAGAGCGTTTTCACGAAAGTGACCTTCTTCAGCACTAGGTTTACAGAGAATAGATTCCAGAAATGGGCGGGTTTTTGTGTGAAGGTGTGGAAATTCACCAATTTCCCACATAGTTTTTTGAGTGCGTCGTCGAGGTCAGTTTGGGCTTTCCAGATTGTTGATGATTCGTCCTTGAAAAGCAAAAAATCACAGAAATAACTGGCCTAATGGAGGGCACACCTGTGCATTTCTTGACAGTGTGCCGATCTCTCCTAGCACTTGTAACTGGAATACCATGTATCTGTAGAACTTCAAGGATTTGATGACGTTCAAGAATGCTGCTGTTTTCAAGCGTTCTTTATTGGCATTCGCAGTCTCTGATATTTTTTCCAAGGCAAGCCACACATGCTTGTACATTTTCAGGAAGCTGTGGATACCGTCTGAAATATTAAGTTTTTATGGAAAACAAAAAAGATTTTGTACTAACTTTCTTCTGACGAAGTCCATCTTATCGCGATTATCCGTTTCAAGTTGATAAAGCGTTCATTTTCCAAAGACTTGTCCATTTCTAATAGGACACGTCTCCGTGATGGAGCTGCAAAATAAGAACGCAACTTGTTGAGATATGCTGTCGCGAACTTCCTCCATTGCAAAAATGCCTCGCTGGCTTTAGCCAGAGCATCAGCTAAAGCGAGTTCAATTTTGTGTGCCATGCAGTGCACCCATATGACTGGGTCAGCCGCATTCATCTCCTCCTGCTTAGCACCTCTTGCTGCCAAGATATCTTTACGAGATTGCGAGATGTTCGTATTGAGTATGCCTCGAAGCCCTCCTTGTGCAGTCATTACAGATGCTCCATTCGTGGCTACCGCAACAAGGTTCCAAACAAACTCGTTGAGCAACCCTGTTTTTCGAAAGTACGCATAAATCGTCTCGAAAATGTATTTACCCGTCTCAGGTTCCAGCAGTTCGAGCGCTTCAAGAAAGTGGGTTGTGGGATGCAACGTAGTTCGATCCGGAAAACGCACAAAGAGTAAAAGGATTTGCTTGCTATCAGGATCCGTGGATGTATCCACTAAGAGTGAGAATGGAGATTGGTTTTTTCTTAGGTAGTCGATCAAGGTGTCCTTCATCTTTTTGCTTATATAACCAGTCATTTGCACGAAGCCATCGCGTGTATGGTGTTTTGTTCCTATCTCCAATCCCAATTTGGACATAGTTTCACACAGTGTCGGAAACTGATATGGCGGAAGGTACATTTTTCTGCCGCGTAGGCGAGGGTAAAAAGACGGCTTGCTGCTGTTCCAGGATCTGTGAGAGCGTTGTCAACAGCATTGAGGTAGCTGTTTACCTTGTCGTTGGTCTTCCGTATGTAGTATTCTACAGCGGCTTGATGTATGGAATGATCAGATCGGATATGGTTTTGCAATGTCTTCTCGATGCTAGACGCAGTGAAATCCACTCCCTCTTTTGTTGAGATTGCATATGGGGAGCCCCTAGCTTGTCCGGATTGATAGTACTCGTAGCAGGGTTCGCAGCGCACTTTCAGGACTCGCCTCCCCCGAGCCCACTGATTAGGGAAAAGTGGTTTGAAATATTGATATCTTTCATCTTGCAAATTTTGCAAAGTCTTCTTTTCCTTTGCTGTGATAAAGTTTCCAGAATTCACGAGCATGTCGCGATCGCGGCAGAAAAAAAATGCATCTTCTACGGAATTCATAGGCCAACATCGCTTGCCTGGCGCGTTCTCGGGCTTCTTTGTGGAAAGTCTTTTCATTGCTGAGCGCTTGTTGATAGAGGTACCCAACCCACGTCATCAAGTTGGTTTTCTCTTCATAGGAAAACGCAGAACACTGATGAGAAGCCACTACGTTTACATCTCCACCCCCTCCATGAACATAAGGAGTTACTTGCGTCGTCCCTTGGAAAAAAGGCACTTCTGGTTGATCAACAGGAAGTTCCACGACTATTTCCTTCGTCACAACAGGTGCTACCGTACTCCTTTCGGCGTTGTCTGAATAATGGAATTCTTCGCTGTCAGCAGAAGTGTATCCCACCCTTTCATCAAAAACACGCAGATAAGATGGATACGTGCAGTCATTTTCTTCTCCGGAAGTGTGTCGAGAGAATTTCCAGTAAACGGATGTGTGTGTTTTTGTGTAGGCTTCATTTTCATCTTCAGGGATACATAAAGAGATGGAGGTTCCCTTTGGCAAAACACGAGTATTTTCCTCAGCATCGAGTGAAATCATGCTAGGTCTGATTCCATGATCATTAAATCTCTTGAACATCTGCTCGGTGAAGGTGTTGTGTCTAGTAGTGCGCGTGTTCCTGTTCACAACAACGACATCGATAGCATTATCGAACATTACATTCCAATGTTCCTTTTGGGTCAAAACTTTCTGTACATCTTGGATAGCAATTCGCCGGGCATGGTGGCCGCCAGCATAAGATACATCTTTTACGAGCTCTTTTAATCGAAGTTTATCCGCTCTAGCTGTCGGGGTCTCTATCAGGATAAATATAATTGGGTAGTCTAAGGGATTTTCTGCTTGCGATTGGACACGTGGACCCGTTTGCAAGATCTTGCCGCTGATACAATTCATTGCAGCATCTCCCAAGTTATGAGTGAAAATCACGTCAAAGATCTTGGAACGTGAACTCCTGCTGCATTGATTCCCCATGACAAAAAAACGGTGTTTGCTTCTAATTTGGCGGTTGTGTAAGCTGCTATAAAGCGGGGGAGCCGTAGCGGAGCTGAACTTGGGCTTGGTGTCAAAAGCCATTATAGTGTACGGCATGAGAACTAATTTTCGAAAATTCCGACATTCCTCAGATGGGAACTCAATTTCAAGGAATTCATCATATTTGTTGTCATTTCCCTGCGCATCGGTTCCCAGGTAAAAAGTGGATAATTCAGAAAAGCGAGGTTTGCACAATCGCTTTCCCACTGAGAATTGTGGCCTGCTAGGGTTCCTCTCTTGTTGGTCGTCCGTGCAATTCACGACACAAGCAAGGATTTCCAGAAGAACCGATACAAGTTGTGCGGCATCATAGTTGCGATAGGGGGAGTGATGGATCTTACCCCCTTCACTTTGAGGCCAAACTCCCGATGACCCCCTTCACCTGGGCTGAGATTGGTATTGTACTCTGAGAATCTTATATATAAAGCTGAATGTCTGTTTGTATGTATGTATGTCTGTCAGTCTGTCTGTATGTATGTATGTCTGTACGTATGTTCCGAATAGAAAATTCCATTTCTGAACCGATCGGGACCAAACTTGGCACACATACACTTCGGGCCCCGGCGGGTGTCATAGGCTACTTTTCGTATCGATTTTATCGATTTTTATCGATTTTTTTGCTGAGTTCACCTACGGGGCTGGGAGTTCGCACAGGGGGGTAATCGAGCATGGGGATTCCGAATACAATATTGGTTTTAGGGATTATCGATTACTTTTATCGATTTTATCGATTTTTTTGCAAAGTTTGAGCTAGGGGGCTGGGAGTTGGCACAGTGGGGTAATCGAGCATGCTGATCATCCCCAAGGGGGGTGATCAGCATGCTCGATTACACCCCTGTGCCAAATTCCAGCCCCTAGCTCAAATTTTCAAAAAATCGATAAAATCGATAAAAGTAATGGACGATCTTGAAAACTAATATTGTATTCGTAATCTGCATGCTCGATTACCCCCCTGTGCAAACTTCCAGCCCCGCAGGTCAAACTTTACAAAAAATCGATAAAATCAATAAAAGTAATCGATAATTCTGAAAACTAATATTGTATTCGGAATCCCCATGCTCACTTCCCCCCCTGTGCCAACTCCTAGCCCTGTAGGTGAACTCTGCAAAAAAAATCGATAAAAGTCGGTAAAATCGACATCGATCGATAACGAAAAGTGGACTGTGACACCCGCCGGGGCCCGAAGTGTATGTGTGCCAAGTTTGGTCCGGATACGGCGGAGCCGGGTAAGCCAGCTAGTATAAAATAAAAATCGTTATTAAAAGGTTTTGCAGGCTAACTACTTCAAACAACAAGTACACTCATAAATTTATATTAAGAGGATTCGAGGATTAAGAGGATTTATATTAAGAGGATTCGACCTAGACCATTACTTTCTTTCTATTTCCCCTCCCGAGAGATATACCGCATTTTATCCGAAAAAAGGTCCATTAACAGCAGATTTCTGCCAAGCGAAGACCTAATCACTGCTGATTATCTATCTGTGTGATAGAGCAAGTCTTCATTAACAAACGTAGACCGTCGACTTTCTCGTAGCATTCATTTGGAGAGCAGAAAGTGAGGGCACAAAATCAGCTAATTTTTGAAGCACATAAAATCCCTCATATCTCGCGTCACAGAAGACCTGGAAAAAAGGTGACGGACTATGTCGATTCTCCATGATCTCAGCTTTCGAATGGTATACAGCATGTTAGGGCTTCTTTGCTTCCCGGCTCTAAAAATCATTTGCTCCGGTAACCGATAAAAGCCAATACATTGGTGGAGCTGGCTGGAGCAAGCTAATAGTAAATATCTCCACCCCATTTTTGAAAACTGGTTAGTTTTTTCGCCCAGCAACCTATATACCTTTCGAAAGCTCAGGAAAAGGGAATTCGACCTAGACCATCGTCTTCTTTCTAGCCCTCCTCTACCGAGAGATACACCGCATTTTATCTGAAAACATGGTCATTTTCAAAAGCAGATTTCTGCCAAATGAAGACCTAATCACTGCTGGTTATCTATCTGTGTGATAGAGCAAGTCTTCATTAACAAACGTAGACCGTCGACTTTCTCGTAGCATTCATTTGGAGAGCAGAAAGTGAGGGCACAAAATCAGCTAATTTTTGAAGCACATAAAATCCCTCATATCTCGCGTCACAGAAGACTCGGAAAAAAGACGACGGTCTATGTCGATTCTCCATGATCTCAGCTTTCGAATGGTATACAGCATGTTAGAGCTGTTTTGCTTCCCGGCTCTAAAAATCATTTGCTCCGGTAACCGATAAAAGCCAACACATTGTATAGGTCGTCCCGAAAGTTTTTGCGCACGATTTTCAAAAATTCATAACTTCTGATTTTTCCAACCGATTTGACTGCTTCCACCTTTATGTGAAAGGGTAAGTCATGCTCTTTACAAAGACATCTCAGCTGCTTAGTAATGGTCATCTGTTGCATAGATAGGAGCGATAGAAGAAAATTGGTCAAAATTTGAATTTTCTGTGTAGAGCCATGAAAAATCGGAGACTTGCAACAAAAATCGAAGCAGTCAGTATTGTAGGTTCCTTCACCAGCTCTTTCTGACAGTGCAAAGTTTGCGCTGATTGAGGGTCTTTATGAAAAGTTATGATTTTCGAGCAAGCAATACGAAAGGGCGAACTTGGTTTGTTTTGGCATTTTTCAGGGTAATCATAACTTTTCATAGAGACGCTCAATCGGCGCAAACTTTGCACTGTTAGAAAGAGCTGGTGAAAGAACCTACAATACTGACTGCTCCGATTTTTGTTGCAAGTCTCCCATTTTTTATGACCCTACACAGAATATTCAAATTTTGACCGATTTTCTTCTATCGCTCCTATCTATGCAACAGATGACCGTTACTAAGCAGCTGAAATGTCATTATAAAGAGCATGAATTACCCTTTCACAAAAGGTGGAAGCAGTCAAATCGGTTGGAAAAAACAGAAGTTATGAATTTTTGAAAATCGTGCGCAAAAACTTTCGGGATGACCTAATAAGAGCGAGGTGGAGCAAGTTAATAGTAAAAAATGTGCTGTGGATTGACATCGTGATCAGCACTAACGGGAACGTGAGCGAACGCGTCTATTTAAGCGTGATTATCGTTGTTATATGTTCATGGTTTTTTTGGTAAAAAATGCGCTTTTGATTGACAGTCATGCCATCATTATTAGCACATACTCAAAAAAACTATGGGAGATTGTTGAATTTCCACACCTTCACACAAAAACCCGCCCATTTCTGGAATCTATACTCTGTAAACCTAGTGCTGAAGAAGGCCACTTTCGTGAAAACGCTCTAGACTCACCTTACCTAATTTGTAGAGAATGGTTGTTTCAATGAATCAAAAAATTCAGAAGAATAACAATGTTATTAAATGTTCAATATATTCAATGTCATTAAATCTCCCTCAATGTTTTGGAAAGGTTGGCAGTTTGAAGAGGAAACGGCAGGCAGAATACTTTACAAAATCGCAGATGACTCGCATGTGTTCCAGTTCAACAGCGAGGCAGAAGGAGAATC